CATTTTCCGTTGGCTGTTTTACTCCCATTTACACTGACTGGACAAATGAAAGTAGTTTTTCCATGTCTGACCAGCTGGTGAAGCTGCTGGTGTATTTCATTATGCTATAGTGGTGCAGAGTTAGCAAATACATTTTTAATTCAGCACATTTACGTCTGTTTAACAAAAAAAAAATAAATTAATGTTTTAAGTCATTTCAGCATTATTTTTTCTGCATGGGGTCGGTTTTGGCCGATACTAAACCTCAGATATCAGTATAGGAAGTAGAAAAGTGGATCGGTGTGTCCCTAGTTCTGTCCTAACTTGAGTGAAGCATGGTAACTGAAACATTGGAAATCTGATTACGTACTAATATTACTAATATTAGACTTCATGTCTATCTTTGTATGTTTATAAACAAGAAAATACGTTTTAAAAACTCAAGAGCCCGAGTCTCTCATTCACATGTGACGGAAGATAAGAAGCTGTCATGAAAACATTATTTTCTTGCATCCCTTTGTCACCCACATTCAGCTTCACAAATTTCCAAGTGTTGTGCATTGTGTACGTGTCTATTTACAGCGTTATTTTTCTTTTAGCTGGGCTGATGCTCAGACGCAGATCCAGAGCATAGCGGCATCGTTTGACCAGGAGGCGGCAGCCATCTTGATGGCCAGGTTGGCGGTTTACCGGGCAGAAACGGAGGAGGGACCTGATGTGCTTCGATGGTTGGATAGACAGCTGATCAGACTGGTAGGAAACAGTGTCTACATAATAACACATTTGAATTAAATATTTAAAAAACAACAAGATTTAACCTCTTGTTGCTCGATGTTTGTGTGCAGTGCCAGAAGTTTGGTGACTATCACAAGGATGATCCTAACTCCTTTAGATTTTCAGAGACGTTCTCCCTCTACCCTCAGGTGACCTGCATGTCGCCCTAACCGTCACCGCCCAGCTGTTCTGTCCTGCTTTCCCTAAATGTTTTTTATATATTTTTCTTCCTTCCAGTTCATGTTCCATCTGCGGCGCTCCCCGTTCCTGCAGGTGTTCAACAACAGTCCTGATGAGAGTTCCTATTACCGACACCATTTCAACAGGCAGGACCTGACCCAGGCCCTCATCATGATCCAGCCTGTGCTGTACGCCTACTCCTTCAACGGCCCACCTGAGGTAACGAGCCTCACAGTTCACCGTTTAAAACAAGTTTCTGTTTCACAACTGGCTCCCATTATGTCCCTCAAAGGCCTCCATCAAATCAGATCCGTCGATGTGATAAGCTTCCAGATGATAGTTATTATTCTTGTGAGTCTTTTTTGAGCTGTAAATCACGTTATAATGTTATATAATCATTAAAGACATACATGGAGTGTTTTTTTGACTCTTTCATGCACGTTTGACAAATCCTTTCATCTCCATGGCAACCATTCAGCTGTGCAAGACACCTGAATGGATCTAGCACCGCCTTTGAGGCGCAGCTCCTCCTCCCTCTCCTGCTTCTAACAGGAAATAATCTGTCCTGCTTTTAAGAGTCCAGTTGGACAGACTGTCTGTTTGTAGACTGCTTTCATTCTAGCTCAGGATTTGCTGATGCATTTCCACCTCACCCCCTGCAGGGAGCGCTGTGCACAGGGAGCTTTAATGTCAACCTGCTGACTGATAAGTGTGTGTGTGTGTGTGTGTGTGTGTGTGTGTGTGTGTGTGTTTCAGCCGGTGCTCTTGGACAGCAGCAGCATCCTGCCGGACCGAATTCTGCTGATGGACACCTTCTTCCAGATCGTCATCTACCACGGAGAGGTACGGGTTAATTGGAGGAGGTGTGTGTGTCGGCTCTAGAACAAATGTGTGTGTAAGCGTCCGTCTCTTTCAGACTGTGTCTCAGTGGAGGAAAGCTGGCTACCAAGACATGCCTGAGTACGAAAACTTTAAGCATCTCCTCCAGGCTCCAGCAGACGACGCTCAAGAGCTGCTGCACACTCGCTTCCCCATGCCGAGATACATCGACACAGAGCACGGCGGCAGCCAGGTGGGGGCGCTATCGCACACCCGCTTTACACTCACACAGACTCACATCTAACACAGGCGTTCAAGGTCATGAAAGGAACAAAAGAAAACCTTTCGAAATGACTAGAAATAAACAAAGATAAAATCAGAGTTTCTGAAAAATAAAAGTTTTCTTCCACTGATTAATACGACTATAGGAAAGAAACTGTTTCTCACCACCCTGCTGGATCCAGTCAAGTTTATTTTTATAGAACATTTCAGCAACAAGGCAGTTCAAAGAACTTCACATGATGAAAATATAACACAGTAAACAATTGTGAAACAAGCTACAAACATTACATTTCTTTTGGCGCGCTAAAGCTAGTCCGCAAAATAGCAACAGAAAATGTTGAGAGAAATGTTTAATAGTTGAAAACATTTTTTGAAAATGGTTTCTTCTGTTGAGTCTTCATTACCCAAATTATGCATACATAATCACAGTGCAATACTTTGACCTTTTTAAATTCTGCTCCGAAATATTAACCAAAATATAAAAAATCTAAAACTAGTTTAGCAAAGACCAAGATGAAACTAAGCAATATTTAACTAACAATAAAAACCAGCAAACACTCTTTAAAAACTAATTAAAACTAACTGAACTAGACAAAGAAAAAGTCACAACAAAATAAAACGAATCTATAATGAAGAACCCAGAACTGTTCTGAATCGGTGTGTCTGTGTGATGGAAACACTGAGCAGAACCTTCTGTATGTTTTTAGGCTCGTTTCCTGCTCTCCAAGGTCAACCCTTCTCAAACTCACAACAACATGTACGCCTGGGGACAGGTAAGGACCCCGCCGGCGACCTTTGACCTCAGCTGATCAGACAAAACGCTGACTGGGTTTGTTTTTTGTGCAGGAGTCCGGGGCTCCCATCCTTACCGATGACGTCAGCCTGCAGGTGTTCATGGACCACCTGAAGAAGCTGGCCGTCTCCAGTGCTGCCTGACCCCGCCTGACCCCGCCTGACCCTGCCTGACCCCGCCTCGTGTATGCGTTCGCTGCCTGAACCGAGCAACAAGCACTCCGTTTTCCGTCAGTGTTACTTTCAGCAGCAGGTCCAGGATATTTCCACTTGTTAGTTTGTTTTCATTTTGCCGCAAAGTCACACGGCCGCTCCTGCACCGGTCAGTAAAAGTTCTCATCTTATCTAAACCTGAGCAGGTCAGGGCCGCGCCTGCAGAGCGGTAAGCAGCTCTGGTTACTTTCTGCGTGTCAACTTTGCTTCATCTGAATGTTCCAAACATTTTAAGTTAGACTCCAAAAGAGTCTGCCAGCGTGACATCCAACAAAAACTCCACCGTAACCTGTGAGCAGCATAGAAACCAGCTTGGAGTCTTTGCAGTGAATGTATTGTTGGTTTATATTTCCATATTTGACTAATTTCACAAACATTCAAGCAGCTGCTTCATAGTAAACATATAGCCGCCATTTTTCCCCCTCTTGTTTTGGTTTTACAGTGTTTGTTTATATTTATGTGAACCAGTTCATGGTCTTCTCCTCGACTGGTTTCTTTAAAAACCCGTTTTCACTTCAGACACTAAGAGTTTTGTCCAGGCAAGTGAATGCATGTATTCCTGTCATTCTGTGTGTTTCATGTTTGCAGTAAAGCTGTGAGAGCCACTGACGTCTGTGATTTCCTTCAGATTTAGCCCAGGACATGAAAATGATCATGAGATGAAAGGTGAAGCTGCACTGCCCCCTTCTGGAATCTAAAGACAACACCTGAATCCCTTTTCCAATAATTCATTCCTCTTTAACTTTGTCACCTAATTCTGGAACATAAACATAAGCAACAGCATTTATTGCTGTATATGTTGTGAACTGTCCTAGTGGTTATAATTTTTTTTGGCAAGGCAATTTTATTTGACTTTAATTTCAGCAACAGAGCTGCTCAAAGTGCTTCATATGATTACAATGAAAAGTAAAACAACAAACGAGCAAAAAGGAAAATCATTACATCACAGTGGTAAAGTAATGGAAAATGGTGACAGATTGAAAAGCAGACTACAGTCTGATGTTCCAGTTAACTTGTTGTGTATCAAAGGCAACTTTAAAACACCTGGAGCTGCTTAACTCATTCCTGATAACGTTCCGTACTCGACCATCAAGTTCCATCCATGCTTGATGGAACTTTGTGTTTTCTCTCTGCCAGAAATTCCTGAAGAAGAATCACTTTACGAATAGCTAAAAAATAAATAGTTAAAGTCCAAGTCTAAACCTCATTCATTTTCCCTCCAGAAACACCCTCCAGGTTTTTTTGGTCTTTCATATTTAATTCCAAAAAAATACACTGAAGTTTGTTTTTACAAAATCATACATGATTTTGTAAAAAGTTTTGCTATGATGTCAGAGCCCTGTAGCTTTCAGAGCGCTAAGTGTTAACACGCCCATTACATTTGTAACCATGAGAAAACCTTTGTCAGAAATGGCTTTCCCCTCCATGGCCGTACTTCCTGACATTCTTTGCACAGCGCCGCCTGGAAATGCCTAAGTCACCACTTACCCTATCGGCTTCCCTGCGCCTTTCCACTGTTTGTTCAAATCCGAGCTGTGAGCAAGTTTAAAGAGAATAAAAGAACGCTGATAAGACGTGTCCTCCACAGTGTGCTGACACTCAGAACGTGAAAGTTGCCATAAAACTGATTTGTTTGCACTTCTACACACAACATTTCATTAACACCATCTATTAATGGACATGTCCTTTGTTAAACCCATGTGTTAAAAAACAATAGAACAGGTGTACCTAATAAAGTGGCCACTGAGATTAAGGAAAACCCACCTGCTGCTGTCACATGTTCACTTCCCAGGATTCAACTGGGAATTACTTCAGCTCAGAAAATACTAAATCGCAAGCCGAGGTTTTGGTCTGAATGTCTCAGTTTTCAATCTAATTAGTTGACGGCGTCCCTGAGCAGGAAAACAGCTGACCGTATCAAGACCTAACACACTTCCTGTCCAGGAGCAGAGAGAGGGAGGCTACGGGGGGCTGCTGGGGGTAGGGGAGTGAAGCCAGAAATCTGCCAGCACAGCTACTGTGAAGGAGGAACCAGAAGAAAAAAGAGCTAAACTGGAAGAAGTGGAAAGAAAAGGTTTTTTTTCAGTCAGGAGGATAAAACTAAAGAGTGGAGGAGACACCAGCAGCTGTCCAGAGAAGACAATAACCTGAGAACAAACAGAGCAGAAAGAGGGAGAGGAGGAGGAAAAGAAACGACCGAATCAAAACCTGGAAGAGTAACTAACGGTAAGAGAGACCAATTAACCAGACAGAATGCAGATTCATTTATTTCTGTATTCCATCTGGGTATTTTTTTGTTTTTTTTGTGACATCTTAGTAAAATTTCAGTGTAGAAAAACTGTTTTACATTGACACAAATAACGTGAGGAAATGATGTAAAGTGAGCGTGAAAGTTGAATTTTTTTGTTGCTTTTAGAAACTGATCATCCGGTCCAAACACCGTAAGCCTAAATTCAGCTCATCTGACCTTCCATGACCAGAGATCCACGGCTCAGCTGGAAAATCTATAGACAAGATCCTTTATAGAAAAATTAAAGAGCTCAAATTCTAAGGCTTGCAAAGAAGAATGGGCAAATGTTTCTTTTTAGATGTATAAAGATAGTAGAGACATATTCTAAGTATTGACTCAAGTTCTGAACATAAATGCATGTAATATTTTTTTTTAATTTGTGAAACAAACCAAAACTCTTTCCACCTACATATTTATCTACCTTGTCCTGATCCAGATCATAATCCCCAATAAACTTTATCACTGTAACTTTACGCAGATGTTAAAGAGGCTTGAACACTTTTACAAAGTTCCACGTCGCATCACACAAAACACACCATGATAAAACATGCAGTCATGTTCAGTAAGTTAGAATCCACATTCAGGCTCATTTATCAGATTAAAAATATCTTTTGAAGACAACCTTTAAGCAGGTTTTAAACATTTCTGTTTTAAAAATGCTTCTTATTGGTCTGATCTGATGTTGCAATCTTAAATGTGTTTTCATTATAAGGAGAAAATCATCCTAATTAACAGGAATAAAGGTCTGTGTGTTATTCATTTAGTGAATAGGTACTGAAATAAATTTCAGTTAAACACAAATTAAATTCATTATTTCATGACTATACATCCTCATAGCTTATGGAAATACTTAAGAAGAATAAACTGATGGTTGATGATTCCATGGTACCTGGTCTGAAATGGTTTGTTTACACTCAGTTAACCTGCTTGTGGCAGACGACCGTTCGTAATGAACCAGGTCCTGCTTCTGCTGGAGGTTTCATCCTGTTAAAGGGGAGGTTTTCCTCCCCACCAGATTCCTACCTGCATGCTCAGTAGGAAGGATTTGCTGTCTGGATTCTGTTGCTTTGTTCTCGTCCAGGAGGACTCTGTACCATCTGTTGGGTTTCCTTAGATAGTAACTTTTTTTTTAAGCTAATTTAAATAATGAATTGAACTTAATGCTCTGTTTGATGACTAGGATCAATTGGAATCCGTGTGTTTGTTTGAACTGAAATTACTTTGTTTTTGTAAAGTGCCTCAAGTTAAATTGTGCCATATATATAAAAAAAATATATATGGCAAAAATATATATCTGAATTAAAATGAAATAGCTGTGAATAAAACTGCGGGAACTAATTGGCCAATTGTCCTATTGTCCTATTCCTGACCATCACGGCTTTAATAAGTAATATTGCTTATTTTGACAGTGACATCATCACCAAGGGGGGCGGAGCTTGAGGAAATGGAATTTTGGCTCTGCTGCTGGTGGAGTTCCCTTTGGATGTTTGTCTTCCTCCTGAGAAATGTCTCCACCAACTTGTCCTCACACACCAAATACAGTCTGAGCAACAGCAAAGCTTCCTTTGACCAGGCCATGATGAACTGCCATCCTGGTGTTCTGCCCTCTGTGGCCACCCAACAAGAGCTCCAGGAAATATTTCAGCTTCTCAACAAGTCAAAGTCATTTCAGGAAAATACCACCGTCTGGGTCGGGCTGAGGAAGCTTAAAAACAGATGCAGTACTGATGAACAACCTCTGAGAGGATTCAAGTGGGTAGAGAACGGCAGCCAGGAGGCCAGCGCCGTCAACTGGCTGGAGAAGCCGAAGCTGACCTGTGCAGAGCTCTTATGTGGGGCTCTGAGGCGACAGCATGTCCAGGCAGAAGTTACTTGGGGTTTAATCCCCACCAGCTGTAAAACCCACTACCATTTCATCTGCAAAGGGAGCGATGCGCATACAGAACTACAGCTGAAAACGAGCCCGACAACATCAAAACCCGCCTCGGCAACGTTCCGTCCTAACGTCCCGATATCAGAGCCAGAATCCTGTGAGCATTCCAGAGACCCCAAGCATCCCAGCATTCGCTTCCTGATGGCTGATTCCAGCAACGGCAACAAAATCCTGGTTGAGTGTTGGTCTGCCGTAAAGTTAGACCTGTTCTGTTCAGGAGTTCCTGCAGTTTGGCGAGTGCTGGATGGCTCCCCTGCTAATTTCAGCATCATCTGCCAGAAGTGTAAAGAAGGCTTCCAGAAAGACGGCTCAGGGTTCTGCGTCGACGTGGATGAATGCAGCACCGGGAACCCCTGCAAGCACACCTGCCAGAATACCGAGGGTTCCTACAGGTGTGTCTGTGCCGATGAGCAGGACTCCTCATGTGAGGATGCAGCACCAGCTACATCTGACAAGAAGTCACTGTCACACATCCTGATCCCCGTACTGGCTGTGGTTGCTGTGCTGCTGATGATACTGGTAATCGTTGGTGTGGTGAAATGCTGCTTAAAGAGGCGCAAGAAGATGAAGGCCAAATCATAAACAACAAGGAGTCCTATATATGCCACTGAAGACATTTTAAACAGCTTTTTGATTTGAGATATTATGTAAAATCAACCTTTTTTGAGTTTTACATCATGTTATGATGTTATTCACTCATCAAAAACATACCTGGATGTTTTGATTCTGTTGCTTTGATTCTTTCACGCATCTTTGAGAAATCCTTGAATCTCCCATGGCAACCATTGGGGTTGTATAAACACTTGCTCTCACAAAGCCCTACCCCAGTTCCTCATTGAAGCTGCAACCCTCAACCAAGCTTCTGCTCTATAGAGTACCTTTCCCTACTCAACTCCTCTAGACTAGTGGCAGCAGCAATTAGCAAACACCTATTGGGGCTGGGAGTCTGCTGAGCTCATCATACGAACTACTACTCAGCTCCTTCAGACTAGCCAGTTTTTATGATGACTTGTTGTAGGTTTAGTATTGGAAAGAGCCAGAGCTTATTAAAGAGACAGAAGTATCAAATTGCGAAGTTAAATTTCTTTGTAAGTCATATTTTATATATACAGCATTCTGACAGTAACAGTTACTTGATTGTGCTGAAAGACGGCACTTTGTGCCTGAATACTGCCCCTTCAAACCTTACGGAATTACAAATTATAACTTTGAAATCATCTTACCTAATAACTTCTCCCTTATTGGTATGAACTGAAATTATTTTACTATATATTTCTATGTAACTGAATCTGAAATGGGGGAATTAAAAATAAACTAGACTGAAACTGAATTGTTGTAAAAAAATTTTTTTAAAAAAAGCAGCACTCAGCTAAATTTATCTGTAATTGTGATTTATTTGTTAAATAAAGATTTGCGTTTAAAGTCTTTTGTTGCATCTCAGATTATTTCAGAGGTTCGCTCAGTTTCTCCAACAGTCAAAGAGAAAGGACAGTTTTCCTTTCTGTTGGACTTCATTAAAAAAAAAAAATAAAAATAAAACAAACAAACAAAAAACTACCAGGTTTGTTAACCAGTTTCAGGACCCGACCAGAACCCCTCTGTGTAAATTACCTTGAGAAATAATGAGATTTGGTTATATATGAAAACGGGCTTTAATGCCAAAAAATGATCAAATGTTACAAGCCATACATGTCATAGAAATGGAACAAATACAGAGTTACATTCACCGTCCAGCTCTGGGCCACACTGAGCTCATGGATGGAACCAAGTGAGGCAAAGATTGTAGTGAGTTTAGCTTTTTATTCTTCTCTGCAATCTGTACCCTCCCTAAAGGGTAGCCCAATCAGTTTCAGTCTGTTTACATATGAGTGATGGCAGCCACACGTAAACATGGTTATGTAAGCTGCAGTGTGTGCATGTATGCAGATGAAAAGACAGAATCCCTAACACATCCATGATGTTCAACATCAGGGTGCTCAAACATTTTTGTGAGTTTAATGGTGAAAATATAACAAGGCCAATAATCAGGAACAACATAATCAAATTTTCACAAGTGTTTGTCTTCTACAAAACAGGGATGAGTTTAGAAAATGGCTTCCTGTTTGCTGGAGCCCACTAAAGAAGACAGGAAATGTTTCCCCTCAGACCTTCTTTATCACAGGGGCGGCCGGTTGGTAGAGCAGGTCCACCATGTTCAGAGGCTCGTCCTCACCGCAGTTCTCCTGGGTCATTTGGTCATTGCTGTGTCTTCTCCACCCTGCTTCCTGTCAATTTACTATTCAATAAGGACAATTAGTGTCAATAAATAAAAAGAAAAGTCTTTGACGTCGCGTGGCGCATTGTTTAGAGCTGGCGCAATTCTAAACCTCGACGCGGCCATCGAGAGTTCCTTTCCCCTTCCTTTCTGATTACTATCGAATAAAGGCTGTAAATTCAGGAAAAAATGCTGCCCCCCCACCTCCAAAACAGACTTTGTCAAATGGGATGTCATGTGACTTTTGAAGGTTATCTGGCTTATGCACCATTGTAATAATATCTGAACCTTCCTGTCGATTCAAACGAACTGAAATGTGGAGCAGTGCAGAAGTATTAAAATCTTTCAAATGACTTTCTCTATGTCTGCCACAGTTTCGCCTCAAGCCTGTCTGGACCAATGGACAGTAGTACTTTCTGACGGCCGTGTGGCTGGCCACCCTGGACACCATAACTTTAGGGTGTAACACAGCCACTTAAAAAAAGAAGCACATTTTCTATTGTTCACTGAATGTAGCCATACAGTAAATCACTGGAGGCTAATGAGACTGAAGTTAGCATCTGAGTTGTAGATTCCTATTCGGTGCTAAATTAAAGGGCTATTCGGTTTTTTAAGGAACATTTGACGACGTTGGCAGTAATGGCATCTGTTTCACCAATCGGATTCCACTGAGATTAATGTTGTTCTGGTGTGCGTGTTTACTACAATAATACTGGACTTTAATTTTCTCTGGTCTCATCCCTGACGACATGTTTATCCATATGTCGTCAGGGATGTGGATAAACATCCCTGTGTGATTGCTATGCAGCAATCACACAGGAGGCTGACGCCCTGCCTCAGTTCAGAACTGTGTACTTTATATGAGGCCTGCTGCTGCATAGATCCGTCTGACTGAAAGTCACTGAAAGTGTTTCATGTATTTACTCCATCCAGATCAGAATACTGCAACCCCAAATCGACTGGTATCCAGTTTAATCCTTTAATATCCAGAACTAATTATCTTGATTTATTTGAATTATAATCAAATGTGTTTTATAGATTTAAACTGGACTTATTTACCTTCTTCATAAATCCCTTTACTTTTATGGTGAAATTTTGTTGCATAGATAAAATGAAATTATAATAAAACAAACCTATTTGTTCCTGTGATAATGTCTCTACTTTAACTAGATGTGTAATCTGTTAGCTCTGTCGCCATCTGGTGGCAGCAGTTTACTGTTGCACCACTTCCTGTAGACTTAT